TTAGTAAACTGAACTTATTAAAATTAAAAGTTTTGCAATGAAACAGGCACTATTAAGAAATTGAAAAGACAAGTCACAGACCAGGAGGAAACATTTGCAATTTGCATATCTCTTAAGAACTTGTATCCAAAATATAAAAAGAACTCTTAAAAGTCAGCAATAAGAAAACAAACCCCACAATTTAAAAATGGAGAAAACAATCTGAGCTCTCAGATATATCATACCTTCATATGAAAGAAGATATGCTGATGGCAAGTAAGCGTATGAAAAGATGCTGAACACCATTTATCATTAGGGAATTACAAATTAAAACAATGAGATACCATTATACATCTATTACAATAGTTAAAATTAAAAAAATATGTATCAACTGTTGATGAGATTATGGAGCAACTCTCGTTCATTCCTGATAAGAATGAAAAATGCTATGGCATTCTGAAACGTGGTTGGTAGTTTCTTACAAAGCTAAATAAAATCTTATCACATGATTCAGCAAACCCAATTCTAGGTATTTAACCAACTGATTTGAAAACTTATGCCTACACAAAACTTGTACATCAATGTTTATAGCAGCTTTATTCATAATTGCCAAAATCTGGAAGCAACCGACATGTCCTTCAACATGTGAACAGATAAACAAACTGTGGTGTATCTGTATAACAGAATATTAGTCAGCAATAAAAATAAATGAGTTAACGAGCTACAAAAAGAGATAGATAAATCTTAATTGCTAAGTGAAAGAAGCCAGTCTGAAAAGTCTATATGATCATACACTGTGTGGTTCTAATTATGTTACATTCTGAAAAAGGCTTTAAGTATGTAATTCTAGAGTTCCCCATGGGGAAGTCTAGCTTGGCAGAGTCAGTTTGAAAAAATAAAGCAAATACCTGAGTAAAGCAAACCCAAGGGGAAGGGAGAGAGAGTTAGAGAGCAAGTGAGGAGAGAGGTTGGACTCCATGCTTCTTTTAATTTAGTTGTATAAGTTAACAATAATTTCTTCTTCAGGCTGGTTCACACTCAGATGCTATTACTTGCAACCAGAGTCCAAGCCAATTAACTAATGTGATTTTAAACTGTAATAAGAGGTGTTAGGAAAGGAGCAGATGCTATAAAAAAGAGTAAGAAGGTAGTTAGGGAAGACTTCTAAAAGTGTAAAATATAAGAGGAGATCTAACAAAAAAAGAGATGCCCGCCTAGAACAGAGTTTAAAGAAAAAGGTATTCCACCTGCCTCCACCCCATCCCCTACAGGAAATAAGTGTGCTCTGTACATAGTGGGGAAAGGTCTTCCTGGAAAGGGCCCTGGTGTGGGGGTAGGAGCTAGAGATCTAGGCAGAATAGGTCTCCTGAGACGTCTATGGACCGAACCAACAGAACTGAAGGTAAATGAAAAAGCCCACTCCATTCAGGAAAAAATATACACTAAAATATTTCTCCCCATAGTAAAGGTGTTTTGTTTTTTAACTTTGCTAATGATAGGGAGCTAGAGCTGACTCCCCAGCCACACATCCCAAAGAGAGAAACTTTCCCTTCCACAAAATCTGCCAAATTACACAGTACCCCGTGAGTGTCCTATCAGTTAGAGGAGACTTTGTATGAACATAAGCAGCTTCAACAGAGAACCAGCACAGCTGCCTATGCTAATCAACACATCCTTCCTTCAGGAAAATGAACGGAATCCAAGGTTGAGGGAAATCTATAGCATGAAAAAACAACTGACCATAGAGGAAAAAAGAAAAGTAATACAAGACAAAAAACAACTTTTAATCAATTCTATTTAATGTCCTCAAAAAGATTCGGGTATAAATTTTATCCATACAGGAAGAACAGCAGC